TATACATATGTACACTCATATAAATATACATACACACACACATACACATACATACACATATATACATATATATATATATATATATACATACATACACACATACATACACATATATACATACATACACACACATACACATATATACATATATACATACATACACACACATATATAAATACACATATATACATACAGTACACATATACATATATATACACACATACACACATACATACATACATATGTACACCCATATATACATACACATACATATACACACATACACATATACACACACATACATACCCACACACACATACACATACATATATATTATACATATATACAAAGCGTTATAAAAGTATATAAAAGAAATTAAATTTAAAACATAAAAAAGAAATATATGTATTACTAAAGCAACAATGCATTTAACCTAATTTTAAATTTGATCTTCTATCCCAAGCTTTTTTAGCAAATGTTTTACAATATCTGTCAAAAGCAGATTGAACATCACCATTAAAGAGATTATTTTCCCCCCAAGAACAAAATGAATTTTATCATCAATATCAGATTCTGAGAAAGTGTTCCAAGTTGCAGTCTCATTGCAAAGTTCAAGGTCTTGTTTTAAAATAGCTAATTCTGCCTCTCTGATTATATCAATATATTATTATCAAATGATTTACAGTTAAATTAAAAATGACGAATATCTTCGGTTTCGCCACTTTGGCACAAGGTACACTCACCATTAACAACTAGAGCAGTCACTCCATAGAGTATACCTCCGTACTGTGCATTGATACCTAACTATAAGAAGCCGTATATGGGCGGTTTCATTATTTTAGATTATGTACTATTCCACTAAATTTTATGATGATCCATTCATGCGTATGCCCCACCTGTCTCCGTTCTTCTGATAAAAATCTTTTAGTTGTTCCTAGGATTAACACCAAAACCTTTGGTTCTAGATCATATTCATTTTCCGCAGCATCCCTTTGGAACTCATTGCCCAAACATATTATCCAAAACTTAAGACGCGCCTTTTTACCATCTAAATGTTAAGCGCCTTTGATTTTTACTTCGGTATAATTGAAATTGGCGCTATATAAATTATTATTATTATTCCTTAGTTTTTGCGTAATCTTGCAAACAAACAGACAGGGGAGAATACTTCCCTCATTGATGGAGGTAATAGCTTAAGTGTAAATGGGGCTGAAGTAACTAAGGCTTTGATAATAAGGCGACAATAAAAAAAAATGAATGTAGAGCTCTGGGCGTTAAAACGCAATACAGTATTAGTAAATCGTAACTTCATGCTTTTACCTTCAAAGGAATTTCTGGTTTCGATGCTACTGTACTAAAAAAAAATAGGCTCGTGATAGGAGCAGGTGTATACTGCAGGTAAAAAGAAATTAGGTCAAAATTACTCAAAACATAGTCCATTATCGTACAAGGGTCTATCAGTCATTGGTTATCTGTCAAAACGTAGGTTTAATTACCACCTCCCTGATAAGTTGGATGGGTACGGTAGTTGATGAAGCTTTACACATTCCTTTTTACAGAAGAATTTAAATACATTCCATTTTACAGAGGAATTCGACCACCAAAGCATAGAGTATAGCTGCGCAAGCGCAGTATAATAATAATTTTTTAAAAAGTCAATTAAGTAGTGTTTTTTCTGATGGGAATTTCGACTTAGCAAAACTGTACAGAACTATACAATTCTATTACCACTGCCACTTGTTAGGTGGAATGAGTTTGTGTAAAGATGATACAGACATTAAAACGTGTGCATATACTAATTATGATACAAGAGATACTATTAACTTAGCAATCGCTCGTTCGTCGTTATGGTATCACGTTTTTACTGCACACTTATTGAACTATGAAAGTGAGAATCCGGGAAACAATCTCTGAGGAAATACTTAGTCAGGATGTCATAAATATAAGAATAAGATTGACTGGGTTATATGATATATATGGTGAGTTTGATTTATAGTCTACTGATTAGGTACATGTCGGATTGTACGACGCCGAACGAAGAAATAATTACTTTACGATGTCAAATCCCTTTAAGCCATCGAATATCTTGGTGCGATATTTTGTTTGCCAGATTTTCTTTAGAAACATCATTTCTGTTCTTTGGAAGCAGGCTTTGATATGCTTAAAATGATCCATTTTTTGTAATGTTTTTCATCATCTTCAAAAGAAATATGGATGGGGTATTAAGGAGAAAACGAACGTAGGCCTAATGCGATAAAACGGGATAAGGGACACCAGCTCCTTTTTGATATAGGAGGCTCAATGCGTAATGTACTCAATAGAAAAGTCTAATAATAATAATACCTGAAAACTATCAACCACGTCGATTAGAATCAATAGTCATCTATTTTATACATGACTCATGAGTCAAAAACCAAGCGAAAACAACACAAAATGTAATAATAAAGTAAGTAAAACTAGAGCAATCACTCCAAGAATGCATACCTCCGCCCTGCGTGCCTGAATAACAAACGATACGCAGGCCGTGTAATAGTAATGGTCGGGGACTTGTGCGTTATGCGTGTAGGATGTAGTCCGGTGGCTTATGTCATCCCGTGGGAATTTCGTGATCATTTTGTTTTTGTTTTTTAATTATATACTTTGAAGTATGCTGAATCGAATAAAATGAGTCGCCAATTTTTTTACGCTCATCTTCATATGCAAATTAGCTGAAATATGCAAATTAGGTCTGAAAATGTAGGGTACTTATATCTTGGTAACCACATGTCGTAGAAAGTTGCTTCTTTCTTAAAGTTGTTCTAAACATGCATGTTTCTATTTACCCTAATAGAACATTTTCTTCAAAAATGACCGGAAGTGCCATTTTGCCGACCTTGCCTTAATACCGTACAATATGCAGGCCATGTATGTTGGGCGATTACATTATGTTCTTTTATACTCGAGGATACACTATCGAATTTCCGTAACCCTGATCTTGTTCTTTACCATTTTCTTCTCAAAATTTAATCAGCACTTTCTTATATAATAATGTATCATTCCACTAAATTTTATGATGATCCATTACTATACTTCTTGCGTAATCTTGCTAAAAGGCAGACAGACAACCAAGACAGACAGACAGACAGCGGTGAATATCCTTTAGCGGAGGTAATAACAACAGCCACTATTCAAGAAATCAATTCAATCCAATCAATAGCACGAATGCATGGGACTGGGCTTACCAATGTCAGTTACCTTAAGAGGAACACTTTCTACGCTCGTTTAGTAAGGATTTATCAGTAATGAAAACTGAATTGCCATAATAGAAATACTGTAATATTCTATTTGAACTGCATGAAGAGTAGGTAAATCTATCACAGACGTGTGCTAAGTGTGAACAATCAACCTCGCGTGATTTTTTTTTCTTCAGAATCTGAACCAAAATCATTTTATTATATTCAAGAAGAAGAAATTATACAGGCTAAACTAAAGGACAATTATTATGCGATTAAAAGTTTAAGTAAAGGAACAGAAGCCACCCATCAAAATGCACTAAGTAAGCATTAAAAATACATTTGAAAGATAACTAACAATAGCCGAACAAAATGCGAAGGTAACTGCACCATTCACAAATACATTAAAAACACAAACAATACATTGTAGGCCTAAATCCGTGTCCAAATTATCACATTTTTTTTTTACAAAAACATGTGACATACCTAAATATGGTCATGATGACATCACATCATAACCATATATAGGCACATAATGACTATATATGAGCATACAACAGTTTTTTTTGTCAAATAAAATTTGATAATCTGGACAGACCTTAAAACTTGACGTCACGTACATATTGATTTAGATTGGTTGAATTTTATGAAAGTTTAAAAACTCTGAGCAATACTAATATAGCGTACTGTAGTCTATACCAGTGCTCTTACAACATATGACAGATCTGTATAAATGACTTAACGCACACTGGCGGAAGAATGATCACCTTCCTAAAATCTTGGTTTCACAGTTTTAAATGATATAGTGTTGTCGTTAATATGGAAACCATGTTTCCTCGGTTGTTTTAATGCGAAAGCGTTGTTCCCCCAAAGAGAAAAATGTCAAACAGTATTCCAATCTAAATCTAACATGATACAAATAGATTCCCAACAAGGCTCCACAATTCATCATTCTTGAAGTATAGCATCGCTGCACGCCGATCGTGATTGACTTAAATAATCAAGCCTCGAAGACGGTATGAATAGGGCCTACGTAGTGTTACTTGAAAAAAAAAATCCGTTCCGACAGTTGTCCACATGCTATACAATTCTCATTCACAAAACATACATTTAAAAAAATTCCTTCACATCCAATAGCAAGCACACTCGCCACTTACAGGATGAGGATGATGCTTTAAGAAACCAAGTCTCTTTATGAGGCTTAGGGAGTGGAGTTGTTTTAGGTGGTAATAACCCGAAGTTATGACCTTACAGCTCTGTCCACCATATGTGACAAATACATGTGATGTGTCATGATCACCATGATCATATTTGGGCACATCTCAGAAATCTGTCACATAAAATGTGATAGTGTGACCATGGATGGTATGACCATGGTGTGCCAGAGCTTAACGTATGTTAAGCCCAGTTTCCTTAAAATCGCTACACTGTCGCAATTACCAATCAAAACAGTTCGACAACAGCATCAACATCATTTTTCTTTAGTACATGACAAGCTTACTAAAAAATGTTAATATATAATTCAACATCATGTAACATAAGACAATAGGATATAATTCATTTTGGACTCATATTAATCCAGGTATTTCTTTTGACAAAAAATCCTGCGCTCTTCATCGTCGATTTGAGTTTGGTGTACGAACAAATATTGCTTATTGGTCAGCGAGGTTAACCAGACAATGTACAAAAAGTCAACAATCTGTACAATGCTTACCCATAAGAAAACATGACAATTTTGTAGGGACTAATTCATGGGCCTACGTTTCACACAAATACAACCGTACTAACTTTAATTTCGAACTCCTTTCTTCGTAATGTTTTTATCTGTGTCGATTGAGTAAGTTCATTCTTCTTGTATGGCTCCAATCGTCTGCGTCTACAATCGAAATTTCGTCATTTTTGTCATCGTATTATCGTATAAAAGCTCGAATTTACTCCAAACATATGGAGAAGATTTATAGATGATACATATTGTGTATTTGGCTGTAAGATATAAATCACAAAAAGCGTTACCACGGAGACAATGCACCTCCTCTTAGTTGAGTTAACAATGACATAAAAATGGGTAATTTTAAGGGTATAAATTCAAATGAAGGATAAAACTGAATCACATCACAGTAGGACTTCTGTCAACTACAATATCCCATAAAGCCTTTCTAGAAATTTTAGGAGAACAGACTACGTCACATCGCTTACATCATCATGAGGTTTATTATATTCTCCTCCGTGTGAGTGCGATCATTCAAAATGATGACCCGTCCTTCGCCTTGTCAGATGTCAACTAATCAGCGTATGTTTACTTTTCACACCAATCCGTCGCGGATGGACAGGTTATGAAGCGTGATGAACCACCGCGTCCAAAGGTATGTCATTAGTAGGCCTACGCCATTATTGTTGTAAGCCCACATTAGAAGTCAAGACAATTTGAGGTCTTGTCGTGTGATTGACGTGATTATTCATGAGCACAAATACGGATTTTAGGCCAATACTGTGAAGCGAATCATGGGGCTCCTATATTACACACTTACCGTACTAAGTTTAATGCGGTATTCAGACTACACTCTGTTGCGATCGGTTGCGATGTAATCAGTGGTAATCCAAAACTGATTACTCCCGATCGCAATCAACGAACGCATTCAGACCAACACAAACTAATTTTACATTCTAGGGCCTAGGCCTCCGGTGGCTAGGCCTATGTTGACTGACCACAGCCAAACAGCGCCTGTGGAATTCGTTGTGATTCGTTGCGATCGGATTCCGTGGTAATCGGGAGTAATAAAGATTGTAGCACCCAATCGCAACGGGTAACAGTTGCGATATCGA